ACAAGCGTGTTCATCCGACGAAAGAAATTTTTGAAGTGGAATTTCTTTGCCATTTCCCAAAATTTTCCAAGTTAACGTTGTAAGTAGTCAAGCGAAAGATTACAATTTATATGGTTAAAAACGTCAGAATTAGGAGTTTTACCAGGGATTACCCATCTGAAGTGAATTTTTTACAAAGTTGTTAATTTATTTGCAACAGTAATTTGTCCAAATAAGTTTATAAACTTGTGAATTATTGCATCTACAAATATATCACAAGGTTTGCAAAAACCAGGATCAGGTGAATGTATGTAAGAGGGAATCGCTTGAGAAGGATGAAGATGGTTAACTCGAGGAATAATAGGAATGTTTGCCTTCACAGAATATGAATTTACTTTTGATTTAATTGTTATATCAACAATAGAGAAGTAAATATTAGGAAGGGTGTCAGACAGGGATGCACATTGTCACCGCTACTTTTTAACCTATACATCGAAGACGCGATAAACATCATTAAAGACAGTACAACTGTAGGGATAGATATACAGGGACAAAAGATTAGTATACTTAGATTTGCAGATGATATAGCAGTAATAGCATCTAGCAAGGAGTTAGAGATAGCTTTTAATAAAATGGAAGCGGTACTGACAGATTAGTACTGTATGAAAATAAATAAAAGTAAAACTAAAATACTGATATGCAAGGGAAGAAAAAGTAGGGAAAGAGCGAATATAAAGATAGGAGACGAAAAATTAGAAGAAGTGGCTGATTTTAGATACCTAGGAAGTCAGATAAGTGAGGATGGAAGGAGTAGTAGGGATATAAAGCAGAGGATAGCGCAGGGTCGTGTCGCCTTTAATAAAAAGAAGTCACTTCTATGCTCGCGAACGGTTAATTTAGAAATTCGAAAAAGGTTGTTAAAGGTGTATGTTTGGAGCACGGCGTTGTACGGGTGCGAAACATGGACAGTGGGAGCGGCGGAAAAGAAAAGGTTAGAAGCGTTCGAAATGTGGTGTTATAGGCGGATGATGAGGATATCGTGGGTAGAAAAGGTTAGAAATGAAGAGGTATTGGAAAGAATAGGAGAACAGAGGACTCTATGGAAGTCAATAAAAAATAGGCGAGATAGGTTGGTAGGACACCTTCTCAGGCATGAAGGTCTAGTCAGAGACATATTAGAGGCAGAAACAGGAGTTAGGAGGGGTAGAGGTAGACCTAGATTAGATTACTGTTCGCAAATAGTTAAGGATGTGGGCTGTTCTAGTTTTAGGGAAATGCGAAGTTTAGCTCAGGATAGGAAAGAGTGGAGGTACGTGTCAAACTACTCTTAGGACTGACGACCTTATGATGATGATTTTTATATCCACTCTTTCCCTACTTGTTTTTCCCTTACATACCGGTATTTTTGTTTTACTTTTATTGCTATCCCATCTGCAAATCTAAACATAATAATCTTTTGCCCCTGTATATCTATCCCTACAATATACATTAAGCAAAAGTTTAATGGTCATCTTATGACTTACAACTGAGCTGAGCGAAAATCATCAGAAAACGTGTACAGAGTCAACTCGAATACCTCAAAACTGGGGTTTCTTAATTAAAATTTCTGACTAAATGATAACATCATGGATATCGAACGTAGAAGTGTTAGTTGGTTTCAGCTTTTCGTTGGACGTTTTAGTAGTTGACTAGTTCCAGAATGCTTTTAAATATATCTATATATCAGAGAAGACTGATTAATATGTTTGCATGACAAAAAATTTTTTGCTCGTTATTATTTGTTAAGATTCACGAAACCACTTAATATAATGAAATTTTTGTAAACCGTGGTCCTCGTCCTAATATATAAATCGATCGCCTTTTTGGCATTTCGTGCATCTTTTGCCATTTTCATACAATCTTTAATCGAAAAATGAATTTTATAAAAAACATAACAGTGTAATCTGATGACGAAAACATGAAAAAAAAGTTATAAATATTTCTGGATTATTTTTAACTAGCACAACTACAGAACTATTTTTATAGAATCTTTAAATTACTTTTAACTACATAAGTACAGCATTATTACTACTACTAAACAGAAACATGAGCACCATCTATGCGGTGGTAAATTTGCCCGTCTTATCCTACTATACCCTTTGTTTCATTTTCTTTGTAAATTTTTTTCGTTTCTCTAGCGATATGCCCCTTCCAATGTCTTGGATGCTTACTGGCAAAATCGTAGGTGGGGAGAAAAAAGCTCATTATACTTTCGACTCTTGTTTATTAAACATACTTTCTTATACAGTACCTGCCAAAAGTTTTGTTCAATCATGAATAGTAGTGCGAGTCGAAAACAAGCGTTAAAGACTTTAGTATGTCTTCAAATTTAAATAAACATCTCGTTGATATTTTCAATAGAAATTGGTACCAATAACAGCACATTTGAGCAATGCAATTTTAGTAGATAAAATTGTCAATTTTTCCTTGCAGTACTGTACGGATTATACGCTCCTCACAGGTTAAGAGTTTGGCCGAGAGTTGTCTCCTTTCTTTTCTGGCCTAGTGCTGTTCTTTTCTACTTTGCGCCGGTCAAACTAAAGGTCACATCGCTACAGAAACTAAACGAAGTATAGAAACATACAAAATGTTATATTTCGCAAAATGATTACGTTACAGTTACAGAAATGGCGCCAAAACGGAAATATACTACATTATTTATAAAGGAAAAAGTTGATATTATCAAAAATTCAGAGTCCGGAGTTACGGTTACATCTTACAACTTTTTTATGTTCCAGATTTGTTTAAAAAATGAAGTATATATAAATATGTATGCCTAATGTAACAAACGACTACTGTTTGATAATTCGAACAATCCTTTGCAATAATTAGTTAGGATTATTGAGGTTGTACTATACTTCAGTGCAAAGATATAAAGAAATAAAAGATAAATATTCGATGATTAATGCATTGGGCTGAATAAGATTGCAATCTAGGTTTGTTTAGGTTTTATTACGTCGTTAGTTTAATTAATAAAAATTCCTAAATGAAGATATTTACCTGTCAATATGGCATACCTTAACAAGAATGTCCGAATGGCGACGTTCGAAATTTTAACCCAGAATTACATTGCTTTATATTTTATCGTCATAAATGAATCGCGAAATTCTAGACTGAGATTTAGATACTCTAAATATGAATGCACATTTCAAGAGGAACGTTAAAGATATTCTCTCTAAATTTTCGTAAAAATACAGAATCTACAATTTATGCAAAAAGAGATTTACTAATAAATTATTTCAGCGGTCATTATTCTACTTATAAATTTAAGTTGACTTGTGAAAAATAACTTTTAAAAATTTTGTATCAAAACTGATCTGGATGTGATACTTTCGGTTAGGTAGGAAAAAGTCTTTTCTTCTTATAGTCAGCTTCATTCCTTTGACATTTTGAGCAGTAACATACTTGAGAACACGCGAAGGTCTATTATGTGAAACTCGCTTTCCATTACTGTTGCTATCTGGTTAACTTCCAAGTCCATCCGAAAATAATCTTTAACGAGAAATTTCAATTCCATAAAATTAATTTACTCAAGTAACTTCACATCATCATGAATGTACATAACTATTTTATTTTAGTGATCTTTTTTGTTGCCTGATTTACCTATTACACATTTTAAGTACAAATACAAATTCGACAGTATGAAGTTAGCAGCGTGGCTAGAGTTAGGGCACAGGATCCAGTGTTGACAGATACGTGAAAACAGAATATTGTACTAGGGCCGTAGAATTATTGTACTTTTTGTAATTATCGTAAGTAGTTAATTAATTTTGTTTTAAAGCTATCTACAATATTACCACCCATAGAAATTATTGCAGATTATTATTATTTTTTTTTTCAGGATATGAAATCCAGCACACTTAAAAATTGGAGGGTGATTTAAATTTTTTACTTTGAACATTATGAATAACTAGAGATATAATAGATATTATGATTAAATATTGGAATGATGATTCAAAACAACAAGAAAAAAAATCATTATTTTATAAAATATCTGGATTTTCAAAATTATTCTACTTTTAGGAATTATTGTACACCTTGGATTGTAGATTGTACAAAACATTAAATTATAGTACATGTACAATAATTATGGTACTTCTGCCAACACTGATAGGACCAGAATTGGTAGCTGTGGTCTCATTGGTTGGGGGTGAATTCGCACTCCCGCCAGTAGAGGCAGTACTGCAGGGTGATATTTAATAACGCAATCGAAAGCATTCATTAAACAAAGACATCACCTAACAGTAGGGTTGCCATCTTTAAAATTTGGAAACCACGACAAGACGCGTGAAAACCCTGGATTTTAGAGTCCAGAAAATGTCATAAATCACCTTTTTATTAATAAAATAGAACACACTTGGAGCTTACAAATAATTTATTGTAACCACTATAATTATTTCGACACACTGTGCCTTCTTTAGGTGGTGAAGATATATGAAATAATTAGAAAAAAAAAGAATATACGAAATAATTATAGTGGTTATAATAAATTGTTTGTAAACTCCAAGTGTGTTTTATTTTATTTTTAAATATGGAGTTACATTACTTGAAAGCTTCATCGATTCAATGGTTGTGAGTACTACATTTTTACCATCACTACAAAGATCGAAATTGCATTCAAACAAAATTATGGGAACTTGTATGCAGCTTTCATTGACATTCGGGCGCCGATCTTATATCGTGAAGCACTGAAGATCTATTAAGCATGGCGAAAGGTCTGCAATCAGAATTCGACCACTACAGAAAAGCCCAGAAGCTCTTTAGAATAATCTAGTCAACAATTAATTATTTACTTTTGCAGTTCGCGTTCGACTTCTTGTTTGACTTGTAAACCTACATCAATAATTATATTTAAATTATTCATGTTTTGTAGTCAACTCTTTTCACAATTTTCACTTAACTTCTTTACTTGAAAACAACAGTGTAGGTTAGAATACGCGAGAGCAGCGAGCGCAAAAGTTACTGATGAACTTGATTTNTATAAATATAAATAACAATACGTATTATTAAGGTCCTCTGTAAAGAATGAATCAATAACTTTAATCCTAAGTGTAAGTACCCAGCGGGTGCCCAGCACCCTTCAGGAATAGGTACCGATATATTCCGGTTTCCAAAGTTGATTAGAAAAGAAATTGTTGACTATTGCAATGTCCCTGTCGTGGTCCGGCCCAATCACGGGCACTATCGTTACCCCTTCCGGTAATAGCAGTCCGAAAGGAATCAATGGATTATCCATTGCTTTCTTGGAATTTGGATCCATGCCCTGAGACGAAATAATTATAGTACCGCCGTTTTCAGTGTTTATTATATTCTCCCCCTGGTAGGACGTGGAAAATGACGAATCTGATGTACTTTGGTTCTCTGGCGACGAAGCCGATTTGGAAGATCGCGAATGACTGTAACTGTTCAGGCCCAAGCTGCTGATCAGTTTTTCTCGTTGTAGTCGGACCCGTTTCGTTGTTATGACGAATGCGCTGACAAACGCCTTCTGACATACTTCAACGGTGTCCTCGGAAGGAAACAACGGCAACAGGTACTTGCATGTTATCCGACGCGGTGACCGACCGCTTGGGGTTGTCGTTTCAGGTACAACGTGGTTTCGCGCCCTCACGTCCATGTGCTGACGTAGGAACTTATTTTGACGGTCGGTATCGCCGAGACCATAGAAATGGGAGAATAGGCGTTGTCTTATCTCCAAAGGCACGCGGTCATCACATTTTTGCGGGCACTGACACAGCTCGTCTGTAACAAAAAAAAAATACAACGTGTAATTATACAACACGCTACTGAAGTGTAACTTCAAACACACAAACATACCAGGATGGGGGTTAAGGAATTGGTTTAATGGTATTATTTGTACACTATGCTTCGCACGGGTGCAATGCTGATAGTAAATATACTATAGAATGTCTTTGTATACAACAAGCACAGCTTTTTTGTCATTAGACAATACAAACCGGCCGGTACCGCCGCAACCGCTATGTCCTTACATTTTAAGTCTGTAATATCTTCGAAAATATTCATTTAAATTACATGCTGTAAAGGGTCACATTGATTTATATTAAATGCACAATGTATTTAAAAGTACTTAATTGGATAAGGATTAATGCTGTATTGCTTAAAATCGCTTCGTAAATCGAAATAAATTATTTCTCGTAAAAAGTAAAGGATAAATAATGGTTATTGTGGGTTATCCCTAAGAGATAGATGTATACCATCCCGGACTTTTTTGTAGACCTTTTTAAGGTGTACAATACTGTAGTATATTATTTTGATCTATTTCGCAGTTTAGCCAGCGTTTGCAATGTAAGCGCAAACAAATGTGTTTATTTACGACATCACATCACAAACCTCTAAAATTATCAGTGTTTCTTTACTATATTATGCATGTATTATACATATAAACCTTCCTCTTGAATTACTCTACATATTAAAAAAAACGCATTAAAACCCGTTGGGTAGTTTTAAAGATCTAAGCATACATAGAGACAGGCAGCGGGGGAAATGCGTTGCATGATTTCGTTACATAGCAACTCGCATAAAACGAACTTACCCTACCGTGCGTAAAGAAGTTTCATTTCAAAAATTTTTTTAAGATAATCGATGGAGAAATGATGTAAAGTTATGCTAAATGTAAATTACATCGATCGAATATTTGCGGGTGCTCTGGTATCGTCTATGTACCCTCGTTGACAGCCGCATTTAGGTGAATTAACAGATTACATTACAAAAACATTTTTAATTGTTGCTCTTGTTTATTGTACTTACAGAAAATTTAGCAGTTGAGTAAAAATATATAGATAAAGCTCTTTATCTTTTTCATTCTTCAATGGCATTCAACAAATATTGATTGAAGCTTTCCATTAATAAAATAAAGAACTAAATGAGCCATTTAGTACTGAATTGTCACATCAGTAACAATAAAAAGTAATTTTTATTTCAATTTCTTATCAGTGCAAATAGATAAAATATATGTGATTGCATGAGGGTGTTACATAAAATAATAGTTTTAGTAGGTAATATTTTTAAAGCATACTCCTTTTTCGATTTTTATCTTCTGAATTACTTCCTGAAAATTTAAACTGACCTTCTGCTTCTTCCAGTTTTTCCTTGTTTTTATCACGTAGAAAATTTTGATAAACAAGAGTTGTACAAACATACAAGTATTTTTGATAAGACTTATCATAATAGTTATATAATGAATTTAAATGAAAATCGAAGTCGAAGTACAGCTTGAAGGGACTCTCATATTGTAGATTTTTTAAGTTAATGCACTGTTTTTTTTTTTTCTAAATATTAAATAATTA